ACTCTCCAGACCATTGCTTACAGCTCTGCTTTTGGGGTTCCCCCCTCTCATATCACAGCGTGATTTTGTGTCACTACTGGTTATTGCTTGGACTAAATACAGCAGGTCAAGTCCACATAACTGAGGATAGTATTCATTTTCTTCTCTTCCCTGGGTTTCAGATCTGACTTTCCTAACTCCTCCATTTGTGACTTTGGACAAGTCTCTTGAGATCTCTGGGTCTCCATTTCCTCTGGATTCCATGGTCTCAAAGGACCCTTCCAGCTCTAACTCCCATGATCCTAATGAGGTCTCAATTCAGGCCATTTACTCTCCCTTGTTGTTTTTGGTTGATTTTTGGTCTTGTATTGAAATTATAGAATATCAAGCTGCTATTGTGAATTCAGAAGAAAGAAACCGATGGCAGTTCTGTGCTGGCAAAGCTCATGGTTATATTAAGTTAGAAGAATCACTGGGGTCCTTTGGTCTTCTCAGAAGGAAAGTGTGTCCTCCCTCTTCCAGAAGAGAGATGTTCACAAGAATATATTCAATAGCTGCACAGTAGGTTTTAACCTGCATTTGACAATACAATCACTACCAGCAGCCTGCAGGAATGATGGGAGAGCCAGAAAGTAGAATCTTAGACTTTCAGTTCAAAGATCCTTTAGCCCAAATCCCCCATTCCACAGAGAAGGACTCTGGAATTCAGAGAGGATGTGACCTGCTCCAGTCAAAAGAGCTGGGGGCAAGCCTGGGTTTTTTACTCCAAAATCCTAAATCTCTTCACACATAGAAGATCGTAGATTTGAAGATAGAAAGAATCTTTGATGGAACCTAGTCCAATTCCCTTTTGTACAGATGAGGTAACTGGGCCCCAGAGAGTGGAAAGGACTTGGCCAAGGTCTCTCAGGTATTAGTAAGCATAGATTTGAGGCAGGATTTAATGCTGGGTTATCTGATTCTGGAGCCAAACATTAGATAAGAAAGATATTGTAGAGATAGAATTTTTAACCCTAAGATAATAAAATCCTGGGTTTAGTTGCATGTAGGAGGGCCCTCAGAAGTCATAGATGTTGAACCATAAGGGAAATTAGAGGTCACATCCACACCCTTCACTTTAGAGATGAGGAAAGTGAAGCACAGAAGTCAGGACTTACTATGCATCACCCAAGATAGGAGCAGGGAAGCCAGTCTTTGAACTCAGGTTCCTAGAACAGAGCTGAGTGAGAGGCTGGTTCAGAAGCATATGAGAAAGTCACCTGCAACATACCTCCCCTGAAAAGTGAGGGGTGGGTGAGAAGGGTGCTGCCTTCCGACTCATAGGGCACTTCTCCTCAAAGAAGTCTCTCTACCTCCCCGAAATTGGACTGGAGACCCTGGCCAGCTGTGGAGGGCCCTCCCTGTTCTTTGAGCAGGATGGGAAGCTCTCATGAGGAGGAGGAGGAAGAGGAGAGTGTGCTAGGCACCTGGGCTCTGGGGTGCCCTCTCACCCACCACCAGCTCTCTCTGGAGTGGCAGTAAGGGGAGGTCCAGGCAGGTGTGGCCAGCCCCCAGCCTTTGGAAGGTAGCACTTCTGGCCCCCTTGGCCAGCTCCTCCTGGCCTTTGTCCTCTTATCTGACTCCGTCAACACAGCCTATCTCCCTTTAAATCAAAGACCTGGGCAGAGTAGGAAGCCTTGCCTTTTACACACATAGTTTGAGGCCATTCACTTCTAAAATATTGTTTCCTGCAGCTGCTGGATGGCCGGCTCCCTCCCCCCCCCCACACACTTTTAACTAGAACAGTACAAGAGCCCTACAGGCTGAATCTTCCTACAATCCTTTTGAAGTCTCCGGTGTAAAAGAATGTGATTCCGTTTGGGCTGCTTTGGCTTTCCACTTTGGTCTTGTTGGAGAACCCCGACTTCCTCCAATGCTCTTCGCACAACAGCAGGTCCTACTGGAACAGAGCAGCTACCACCCACCCACCCTGCCCTGCCATGCCCAGCTCTAGTTGGTGTGCATATTTATTCCACTGCCTTTGTTTTCCTCCAGCTCCCCAAAGGCAGAGATTGTCACTGCTAGTTGCCTTTGTATTTCTCCCCAGCGCCTAAAAGAGTGCCTGACACATAGTAGGTGTATACGTACAGGGCAGTTGAATGAATGTGAGAGTGAAGTCAGTTGTGCTTTTTGCTCTAAGGGGTGTTCTAATTTGATTTCATTTTCCCCTATTTTCTTCTAAACTCCCATTTTGAAGGAGGAAATTAAAGAAATTAAAGATCCCATTCCTCCTCCCTTCCCCTTTGTCCATCCTACATGCATCATCATGCCAAACATTAAGAAAAAAAAACTCATGGTGTTGGAGTGTATTCAGCAGCTCCCTGTAGAGACCCCAAAAAGAGTGTCTGGCATAGAGTCAACATTGAGTAGGCAGCTAGGTGACACAGTGGGCAGAGTGCTGAACTTGGTATGAGGAAGAGCCAAGTCTAAATGCTGTCTCAGGCACTTACTAGCTGTGTTACCCTGGGCTGTGCCTCAGTTTCCTCATCTGCAAAATAAAGAGAGAAATAGTAGCTCTCCCCACCCAGGGCTGTTGTAAAGATCACTTTGTAAAAGGTTACTGTGTCATATAAATATTAGGTATTGCTGTTGTTGTCATTACCTGCTTGTTGACGGACTTTTATGGCAATGAAGGTGCTACATGCATTTGTGGGATGACTGGATGGTGGTGAGCCTCACTCTGGAGAATCAAGAATATCTGAATTAAAATGTCACCTTTCAAGAACAGTCAAGGCATGATCTGCATTACTACCCTCACATGTAAGGGATAGTTCCTACCTTTTCTTAACTGCCCTTCCTGCCCCCACAGTGCCAGGGGCTCACCTTTGATCTTGGGGAATGCCTTTGGAAGAACAGAGGTCTAATGCCCATTTTCCTCTTGAGGGGTGTTTGTTTGATTGGAAGGCGAGGAGAGGGAAGGGTGGGAGGACATTGGTTCCTAAAACAGTCTTCTTTATTTCTCCATTATACTCTCTTGAGGAGAGGAGGGCAGGGAGACTGAAAGACTTTCCTTTTCCCTTTGCTCTCCCTGGGCCCTCACTCCAGCCTGGGTAGGTGAGGAGGGCATGTCTTCAGGCATCTAGGAGAAGGGGGGAGGGGTAGCCCCTTTGTCTTTCTTGCCAGGGCTCATTGGTTCTCTAATTGCCCTACTGTAGTGAATGGAGCTCCTGCCTGGGAGGCGGGACCTATCTTCTTCCCTGAGCTGAGGGGAGGGGCTGGCCTATGACCCTGACCTTGAGCCCAAATCACATCCTCCTCCAAGGCTGCTCTGGGGGGCCAGACCTGGGGCTGGGATACCCAGGCACAGTTCTGCCTCAGTAAGGTGAAGGAGGAGGGACAGCCAGAGGCGGGTAGATATGGGCCTCCCTGTCTCACCTGGCTTGTGCAGGGGGTGGGGGAGAATCAGAGCCGTAGGAGGCTAAGGGGAACAGCTGCTCTTGTCAGTATGGGGATAAGTGTAAAGAGATTAATAGTTATTTAAAGAGCAAATGGGGACATGGCATTCGGCACTGGAATGTGAGGGTATAAATGGAATGGAATGGGCATGGCGCTGGTAACATTTAGACAGATGGCCTTAGGACTGAATGGAATGAAAAGATTCCCGCCCCCCCCACACACACACATTCACACTCTTTATGGAGACTTAAAGTTGAATAAAATCCCTTTCACAATCTCATTTAAGAGAGGGCTAAGAGTGCCATGTTCAGAGTCAAAGACTTGAGTTTGAATCCTGCCTCTGACACCTTCTCACTTCATCACTTAATCTTTCTGGGTCTCATTTCCTTATCTGTCAAGAGGGTTGGGTTGGCCTAGGAGGCCTCTCAGCCTTTCTCCTGCTTGAGGCCACACGTGGGGGGAAGAAGGTTGGAGTCAGCAGAGGGCTGAGGACGGCAGTCCTGGCTCCAGGATCCTGAGGAAGTCACTTAACTTTTCGGAGCCTCAGTTTCCCTATTTGTGTAATGGGGATGATAAGAGCTGCACCACCCAATTGAGAGAGTCATGAAGAAAAGGGGCTTCTGTGACTTTCTAAAAGCTCACATTTCTCGGCTTCCATCCCTCTCTTTAAAAGCTACTATGTTTCTAGGGCTAGGCTTCGAGGTCTGTAAAGCGCTTTCCATCGTTGAATTCACCTGCTTCTCACTCGAACCCTCTGAGGTCTGTGCTGCTAGTGCTCCCATTTTACAGATGAGGCCATTGAGGCTCAGAAGTTCTGGCTCCAGCCTGGGAGTGTTAAAGCCAGGTCTCTCCTGACCCCAAATCCGATGCTCCTTCCCCTACCAGGTGTTCTGCACTAGAGATACTTCTGAGGGCCAGCTGGCAATGGGGGAAAGAAGGCACAGTGCCTAGGTATGGAGGTGGGTGGAGAAGATGGTGAGCACAGCGACCAGCACCCAAGAGGTGCTTGATAAATGTGGACTAATTGGGTGTTAGAGGGAATAAGAGTCACCGACAGGGAGAGGAAGACCCCCATGCAAGCCCTTCCTCAGAGTGTTGCCAGCTACATGAACATGGGCTCTGGTCATTGAACACTGGGAGCCTTCTTTTTCCTTCCAGGTCAGGTAGGGAAGATGCTTTGTAACGCTTAAATCTCTACATACACAAAGGGAAGCAGCCCAGCCCAGGGCAGATGGATGCCAGAAAGCCTAGATAGAAACCTCACCAATAACGCTCTGTGGCCCTGGTCTAGTCACGTCACTTCTCAGAGATCTGCTTTCCCCATCTGGTCGGAGGGGTGATGGGGCCTGGACCGCTTTCCTCACAGGGTTTTGGTAAAGCTAAGGAAGTAAGCAAACAAGCGAGTGCTCTGTGTAGAAGGTTTTCTAACCCAAACGTCAGTTCGTGATGATCACACACACCTTCAGCTTCTCTGGCTGACATCATCCGTGCCTCTGACGACTGACGTTCTCTAGGCAGGCAGCGCCAAGGGCCAGCTCTTCTCCACAGATGGCTAATGAGCAGTCCTCTCTTCTCTCTCCTGGCAGCCGCAGTACACAAACCTGGGGCTCCTGAACAGTATGGATCAGCAGATCCCAAATGGCTCCTCATCCACCAGCCCCTACAACACGGATCACGCCCAGAACAGTGTCACAGCGCCCTCGCCCTATGCACAACCGAGCTCCACCTTCGATGCCCTGTCCCCCTCTCCTGCCATCCCCTCCAACACAGACTACCCAGGACCCCACAGCTTCGACGTCTCATTTCAACAGTCCAGCACTGCCAAGTCAGCCACGTGGACGGTAAGTCAGGGGTTTACCCCTTCTGGCCTTGCCTCCTCCTCCACCGACTCTGGAGTGGCTATAAGGTTCTGGTGGGGACAGAACAGCCTCAAAAGGGGCCTTGTGGTGAAAATACAGAGATCTGTCCCAAGCTCTTGTCACTCGGGGACCTGTTCGTCTTTGCCCAATAGATTTTACTCTAGCAGAATCCAGCAAACACTTATTGCTGAGAGAGGACAGAATTGACTTCACTTCTGTGTTTCTTTCCCCAAACTCCAACCCTTGGAACTGTGCCTGGCGCATGGTAAGGTCATATCTTAAATACTTAATTCAATATCTATCAGTTAAAGTTTTAGCTGCCTATTCTGTGTCAGGCACAGCTGTAGGCACCGAGGATTTAAAAAACAAACAAACAGAGAGCCATCCCTGACCTCAGGGAACTTCCTGCTTTATAAGAGGCGTGAATAGTGATGCTGATTTGGGGATCAAGAATGCTTATTCCTAAGGTACTTTCCAATGTAGTGGTCAAGCTTTCTCGGCATTTTAAAGATGAGTAAATAGAGGCTCAGACACTTGCCTATGGCTATACACAGCCAGTAAGTGGGGGAGCCAATTCTTGAAGCCAAATCTCTCTGACATCAAAGCCATCTCTTTCTTCTGCATTGCCTATTTTCCTATATTTGCACCTGAAGGGGAAGGACTTATGATTTCAATAATGTGGAACACTCCCTCTGCCATGAAGATATCAGATTATCTTTGTCACAGCAGATAGAGAATTCAGTGAATCCTAGACATTAGATCTGGAAGAGATTTAGAGGCCTTACTTTACAAATGAGGAAACTGAGGCACAGAAAAGTAAAATATTGCATAGATTCACATGGTAGTCAGTGACAGAATTGAAATTTCAACACATGCTCTCAATAACCATATCGCCTTTTAAATTCACGCTTTGTTTCAACTTTCAATGGTCCAGCATTCACCAAATTGGATCGTTTTGTTAGCATTTTTCCCCGATTACTTGAAAGGATCTTCCCAATTGGCAGAGATCCTTTGGCTGTTTACCAGAAGGTTAGCATCTGTCAATGCCTTCTGCCTCATATGGTGTCAGTCATTGTTCTGTGCGTTTGCAAAGCTCTCTGGAGTAGAGGAGAACTCCCAGCTTCACTTAAGGAAGCACAAATACCAGAAAGAATGAACAGCAGTGCCTACCCTTCAGAGACCAGATCGGGCCAACAGCCTGGAGCCTCTCTTTCTGTCCTATGCTTTTCCTGCAAAACACAAACATACAAAGCACCATAATGCATGTGGGTAAACGAGCCTCCCAGGAAACTCTGACGACAGAGCTCAAATGCAGCCCTGGACACTAGCTGAGTAACTCTGGTGAAGTCACTTACCTGTTGTCTGCCTTATGGAACTGTAAGTTAGGGACGTTCATGTGTTCATGCTTATAATGGGCTGTCACCTCCACTGACCTTGGCTCAGTGACCTCTTCAGCAAATAAATGAAGAGGTCAGATTTATTTCTTTTGTTATTAAATGTGTCCCAAGGGTTACCCTGGAAACCCCAAACTCCCTCATTGGTGAAGAGAATAATCTGAGTTCAAGTTATAGGGCAATGTGGAGAGGCTGCAAAGATTGCTGAAATCTCTGGATTATTAAGCAAAAGGAAACTTCCTAATAATCAGAGCCATGCACGCACGGCCAAATGAGCAGCATCAGAAATCAGCATTTATTAAGCACCCCCATATTCATGAGGGTCAAATGAGATAATACTTTAAAAGTGCTTATCACAGTGCCTGACACATCTTAGGTGCTCAAAAAAAATGCTTATGCACTCTCTCTAATTATTATAATAATAGTAATAATCATTAGCATTTTTGTGGTTTGCTAAATGCTTTGAATATGTTTTATCATTTGATGCTTACAACAACCCTGAAAGTTGGTGTTATAATTATGTGAGAGAAGCTAAATGCCTTTTTGAAGATCACATAGCAAGTGAGCAGCTCCAACAGGATTTGAACCCAGGCCTTACAGACCCCAAGTCCAACACTACTTTGTCTACCACCTAGATGCAAAAACCAGGGGCAGGTGTATTACGCCTTAGGCATCTGCACCTTCCCTGGCTGGTGTGAGTGGCGAGTGACCCAATGCAATCAGAATCGTGATTTAACCTATGCTCAGGACAGGATAATAGAGTCTAGATGGCATGGCCTGGGGACCAGGGGCCAGGACTTTTCATCCACTGGCAGCTTCGTTGTTGGATGAAAAGCCCTCGTTACATGGTGCTTTCCATGGCATAAAGCCCTTTGCTCATGGCAGACTTGTGAGGCAAGGAAAGGGTTTGTTCATCAAACTGCTGCTGGAATTTCCCCCGTGACCAAGGAACGAGATTCAATAGCATCATCATAGACAGGCTGGTTTGGATTCCTTCAGGCCCGTCTTCAAAATCTGCAAAAGAAAACCTTTGTTTGGTCTGATTTCATGTCTCCTCAGCATCCCCCTGCACCAAACCGGCCTGCTGGAAATGTCTGAACTTCTCAGGTTGAGGGATGTGCAGTTCAAAAAGACTTCTCTCCTGTCGTGCTGTAAATAATTATTTTGATTTAGCTTCAAGCTCAACAGAGAGGTGGCATTTCATCCAAGCTGCTGCCATGGGAATTAAAGAATTGTTTAAAAGTAATTACAGTTCTGCAAAGTACTTCATTGGGCCACACAGTTCGGCTTGGAGGTTAGCTCTATATTCCAGTCTCTTCAGCACCATAAAACTTACCCAAACCAAGGCCTTTACTTAAAAAAAAAAAAAAAGAAACCTGATCCTTTTCTCCTCTCTCCTCTTCACTTCTCACTCTTCTTTCTCTCCCCTCCCCTTCTTTTTCTGCTCATTCTCCTGTTTTTCCTCTTTTCTCCCCTCAATTCTCTTTTCCCTCCTCTTCCTTCCTCATCTTTTCTCTCCTCTTTTTCCTCTCTTCTACTTCCCTCTGCTCTCCTCTTCTCTCTCCCTTTATTTCTTCTCTTTTCTCCTTCTCATATTCTCTCCTTCCTTCTCTCTAGCCAGCCTCCATTGAATTTCAAAGGGAGAAGTGCAGGGGCTTATTTTTCAAAGATAAAGGTCTTGGTCCTAGATCCCTAAGGAACTGATGATATCTATTATACAAATGTAGAATTTAAGGAAAGATATATTTTTTAATGCTCTTCAGAGTGGAGAGAAGGCCTTATAAAGCACCCCCCCCCAGCCTAGGTGCAGAGAAATCCCAGGAGGGCATCTACCCCATGGCTTTTCCTATCAGAAGCATCTCAGATTGGAAAAGCTCCCAGACTCCCAGAATCTGAAGGAGAAAGGACCGCAAGAAGATCCCCTCCTGTTATGCGCTTGGTCCTCTGTTCTCTGATGGATGAGCCCTAGTGCAAGGACCTCACTACCACCCAGGGCTTGGTATACAGCCTGGCACATACTAAGTGGGCACTTAACTGCTGATTCCTGGTGCTGATCATTTGGCCCTGCAAGTGCTTAATAAATGCTGATTTCTGATGCTGCTCATTTGGCCCTGCATGGCTTTGATTATTAGGAAGTTTCATTTTGCTTAATAATCCAGGGATTTCAGCAATCTTTGCAGCCTCTCCACATTGCCCTATACCTTGAACTCAGATTATTCTCTTCACCAATGAGGGAGTTTGGGGTTTCCAGGGTAATCCTTGGGACACATTTAATAACAAAAGAAATAAATCTGACCTCTTCATTTATTTGCTGAAGAGGTCACTGAGCCAAGGCCAGTGGAGGTGACAGCCCGTTATAAGCATGAACACATTTGTTCCCCCCGCCCTGACACAAGTCGTGTGCCTCCCCCTTTTCCTGCCACCATGTTTGCTCTTGATGACCTTCCCACTAAGAATCTTGAGAGCATTCTTGGCTTGTTTTCCCTTTCCATGCCAGTTTCACTTTGGGATCTATGGCCACTGACAAGAGCAAAGTGGGAAGGTCTGGGAAGCTTCAGCCAGAGGAGTAGACCTTTCTAATAGGAGTTCTATCACTCGCCTGGTGGGTCCAATCCATGCTTCTTTGTCTCCTCTGGCCCTGGCAGTCAGGAGCTGAGCCTGGCTCTTCTCTTCTCAGGTTACTTATGACGTAAGGTAGAGAGGGGGATCTGACAGAAATTCTGAAATCTCATACCAATACTCCCCTTTCAGGAAATCTTATGGGGAGAGGGTTGAGGGGATCATCAGGCCCAGCTCTATCTCAAAGACACGGAAGGAGGATTTGCTATGAGAAAACCTTTTGGCAGCCTTCTTTCTGGAAGCATTCTGTGGAATGTCATTTACATGGGAGTTCAATATATGTATCCAACCTTTCATGTAGCAAATCAGGGCACCTAAGTTCCACCTGGAGTCTTCCTCCAGCCGATGGAGGTTAGACCAAAGCTTTTGTTTGCAGAAATCTGCAATTCATTTCAACATCTCAAATCAATAGGGACCCTATTGTGGGTAGAGCCAAGGTATGCTCCCTCTCCTTGTCCCAATACTTCTCCGGGTCTCAGTTCTCACCAGTACTGATGCTGGTAAAGTAGGCTTCCCAAGGGCAGGGGCCCTTTTTACCTTTTGTTCTATCCATGGCATCTAGCACCAAAAAGACACTTCAAGTTTCAATTGGTTAATGTGCTGAGAAATCCTCAAATGTAAAACTCATAGTTAAATTGTGCTATAGCGTCCTAAATCACAGTAACTTCTCCAAGGTTATATTTATGTCTGTCCTTAGAGATGTTCATGATATCTCTCTTCCCCTCTGGCATGTAAACTCCTTGAGGTCAGGATCAGATTTGCTTCTGTACCAGGATTCCCAGTACTTACCAATGCCCATGGCACGTAGATCTCAAATATCTTTCCATTAAACCATATAGTCTCATTTACTGATTGGCAAAATGAGGAGGATAGACTCATCCCTAGAAACGATGGTCCTACTATATGGTAAAGATGAGGTGTCAATTTGTGCTCGAGAGAAAGTAGTGTTTCCACACTGGGAACTCTACT